GACTTGTGTTAAGAATGGCTTTTTTTTTTAGTTATTAATTAATTTACTTATTTTTAAGAAATAATTTTTTTTGGTATAACAATTAAAGATTATTTAGTTTTTGAATTAATACTTTGATGAATTATTTTAAGTTTTTTAAACGATAATGTTATTTTGATCGAAAAACTTAAATGTATTGATTGAAAATAATATAGCTCTTAAGCCAAGAAAATCTAAATCAAGACAAGAAATTCTTAGAGCAAGATAATCATTTGTCTTCCCAAATAAATTCTTAGATCAAGAAAATATCTCGTTCCGTAACTCCTATTCTTTCCCGCTTTACAGCATTATTTATATTTGTTACGCAAAATCGTGAAGCGTTCCACATTTTTTTAACAAATATAAATAATGCTGTGAAGTGGGAAAGAATAGGAGTTACGGATAATTATTACGTGAAGCGTTCCAACCTTCACGTAACAGGATAATTGGTAGGACAGGATTGAGAAAGGATTGTGGAGAGGATCATCTTAATGTGAGTTTATAGAATATGTGAGAAAAAATTATTAGATAGCTCGGACTGGGATTCGAACCCAGAACCTATTAGAGAAAGGAGCGCCTTGCTACGGTACTCTAGAGTGTTATTGACACCATCTTGGCAGGCAAATATGAACCTTTCAGTCTCGGACATCAGGCCAGCTGATTTTAAGAAGGAAAACGTCAGCTGGGTGGATAAGCTATGATCACGCACGTGTTTGAAGAACACGCTGTGCATGGACTTGTCCATTAGTTCGCCAAGGAGTAGTTTTTCCTCGGCGTTCCTGATGACGCTCTTGAATTCCTCCTTTCGAAGTTCCATAAGAGCGTTTATCTCTCCAAGACCAAGGGTTCTTGCCGCATATATTGCTGCCTTATACAAGAACGACCCTTTATGCGCATTTTCATGCTTATGTACAATTTGCATAAGAAAGTCATTCTCGTCTGCAGTGAAATTGACAACCTCGAATGTTAAACCCAGGACCAAACGATCGTGAAGCCTCTCCAAGCTCTGCAAACCTCTCCCACCGATTGACCGGGACAGGTATAATCTGGCGACTGATGAATTGGGGTGCATGCTCCGATTCATATTGATAACCTTACGGGTTTTGATGTCGAGATCTCGTAAATCCTTTCGGGCCCATTTCAGAACACCGAAAGAGTACAGTAAGACTGGAACAGCGAGCATATTAGTAGCGGAGACTTTATTTTTGCCGGAAAGTTCCGACGACCAAATTTTCCGGAGTCTCCTAACATACTCGCTGCGGAGAGCTGCTCGGACTTCAGAGACCGCATGCATGCGGTGCTCTTCCATTCCTAGATATCTATACAACTCTCCGGCGTCTAATTGTCTTAAGACGCTCCCATCTACTAACTCGACATCATCCCCTGTATCAGAGCACTTACGCCTCGCCAGATGTACGACCGCACACTTGTCCAACCCAAAAGACATTCCGACATCTCGTGTGTACTCTGCTACGATGTTAAGGGCCGCCTGTAGATGATCTTCATTAGCACTATACAGCTTCAGATCATCCATGTAAAGCAGATGGGTGATCGAGTATTTTCGATCACCCGGGGGCCCCACAGAGTACCCACGAGTTTTACGGAGAGCAACAGATATAGGCAGCAGTGAAATGCAGAACAGCATAGGGCTCAAGGAATCGCCTTGGAAGACCCCTCGTTTGTACTCTACAACTCCGGTTATGTGCAATGCGTTTCCACTTCCAATGTGAAAACGCGTTCGCCAGAGCTGCATTGTACGCCGAATGCATTCCACTATTTCAGGAATTACCCCTAGGCACTTGAGGAGATATAGGATCAACTCGTGAGGAGTTGAGTCAAATGCCTTGCGATAGTCGATCCAGGCCATTGAAAGGTTGCGTTGATAGTAGATCGCATCTTGTATGACACATCGATCAACTATCAAGTTCTCCTTGCAACCTGACAGGCCTCTTTTGCTGCCACGCTGTTCATATATCTGTTGCCATACAGGTTCTATCTCCTGCAAAATACGGTTGTTTAAAATTTTCGTAAAAATTTTATAAACCGCATTCAAGCAGGTGATAGGCCTGTAATTCTTTGGGTCAGACAAGTCACCTTTTTTAGGTATCAGTACGGTTCGCCCTTCCACGAGCCAGTCTGGAATCGGTTCGTCAGCTCTAATGTACGATGTAAATATGCGGGCCAGATGAAGGTGGGTAGAAGTGAACTTCTTCCACCAGAAGACATTAATGCCATTTGGTCCCGGGGCAGCCCAATTTTTGCTGCCATTTAGAGCTGAACGAACTTCATCCACACTGACTGCAGGGCTCTCTTCATGAGCATTCTGTCTACGGTGTTCCTGACAGAATGCTTTGAAGTCATGCAGAGCTTGAGTATTGGCGTTCACGTTTGGTTGATCTCCATACAACTCAGTCCAAAAAGCTTCCACCCGCTCAGGTGTTGGATAGTTCCCGGTAACATCGGTCTTTGGTGTCAGAAAGCGTGAAGGGCTGGATCGAAACAACGAGTTTTCAACCAACCGCTTCAGCCTTTTCTCTAGTGACTTTTTGGCAGTCACTAGAGCCCGCAATTTATTAAGAGACTCTTCTTTGATGACAAGAAGAGTACTCTTATTCAGTGTGTGATGGTGTCACCGAAGTTCTGCAGCAATGCACCGGATTCGGGGCGTGTATGCTCTTTGGGTTGTTTCAAACTCTATCACACAGTGAATGCGGGAGACCTGTTTCCGGGATCTGTCAATTTTGAGTCCAAGTTGTGAGATGCGCTGTCTCAACCTTGCCTCGATCGAGAGACGGTGTCTCTCTCTCGGAAAAGCCGAAACTGCTGCACCATACACAACCTGGTTCACAGTGAGCAGGGTGTTTGCAGGATGTTTGCACGGACATCTTCATTTACCGCGTCAAGCTGTTGTTGAGAGTAAGTTATCTTTTTAGATATACTTACTTGCCGTCCTATAAAGGGATTGTTGTCATCCAAGGAGGAACGGCGCCGTTCTTGGTGTAATGGCGCCGGAAAGGAAAGTCTATTAGACTGCCTTCTATCCGGTACAAGCGATCTTCTTTTACGCCGAAGATAAGCGGCATAATTACGCAGGTGTTTAGGCGTAAAATGCGCTAGCTCCGGATGCATTTCACTCCAAAGAGTGTGCATCCGGGCCATATAACCGCTCACCCCCGGCTCGCTGTGTTGGTAGCACACCAGAAGATCGACTCGCAGTTCCTCCGTCCACTTAAAATTTATCCTTAAAGCGCCAGGGTCGTCAACATTCATCAGGTCCGGCGTGCTCCTCCCACCTAATAAATGGTCCTCATCCGAAAAGGACCGGTTGGGGAGCACTTCTGAGATTACGTCTTGATGTAACTCAGTATTTCAATGCAGTGAGTAGTTGGCCCACTGCATCGGCTACGTCGTTCGCCTACAGACCTGGTGTTAGGGTCTGGGTTTCCCGCGATGCGCCGCTTGGAGGCCACATAGCAAGCACCGCTTATTATTATTATTATTATTATTATTATTATTATAGAGGTGTCGGGACGGGCAGCCACTAGTAGTCAGTCAGTCGTTTAGTCTGTCCGAATCTATGTCGAGTCTGCTAATGAGCATCGAAATTAATAGTCCTCGAAGACTCTCACTCTCGTTGCTGTCCATCTCTCTCTCTGTTATAGAATTATTAGTATTGCATTTATCGAGTAATATTGTATCAAGTTAGAATCGTTTTTGTAGAGAATTAGATTGTAAAAGGGACTCTCAGGGCAATTTCGGGTAACTCCCATGCTTTGGGGACGCCCAATAAACAATTAGTACCGTAATTCACGTGTATTCTTCATTCACTGAGCGACCCACACCCTCTTCAACATTTAAGTATTTTTCAGTGAGACGCTGAGCTAGTCCGGAGGTCTGTTTATGTGACAGGTAAATGACCAGGTGTAGGCTCACACGTAACAATTATTATTATTATTATTATTATTGGGTACGGACGTGCTTTTTTGTGCTCCGTAGGAATATAATATTAAAATAGTTTAAAGTTGGTGTGTGAAATTGTAGTACGTATCGAAATGTTTGGAAAAATTTTCTGTAAATTCTGATTTATAAAGTGTTACAGTGAGTGGTGTAATTCATTTAATATCAATCAATTAAGTTTTGTATTTACAAATTCATGGTTAGACTCAGTAAACACATTCTGTACTTGCTAGTGGAAAGAAAACAGTTTCAAATTATTAACATAGAGGCGCTATAGGCGTTCTTTATAGTGATTTCGTAACTACCAACCTAGTTAGTAAAATTTAGTGAGAAAAAATGAATCTAGATGGAGCCAAAACAGTTACACCTACGAGGCACACATGTGCTCACTGTAAGCAAACTAATTTAAAATCTGCAAATCTATGTAACGGATGTGGACAGCTGTTCCATAAAGCTTGTTTATTAAAAAATCACAAGTATGTGAATGAATCTGGTGAGCAAATTGAATGTATTGGACATGAAATACCAGATAATACCAGTGTTGCATCTTCTGTTTCTTCAGTAACCAGAAAAAAGAGGAAAAGATATGACGATGAAATTGATGTTAGTGACATTGTGGATAAAGTGGACATTCTAATTGATAGAGTCGAGGAACTTGGAGTAAATGTGGCTGATTACAGAAGTGAAATCAGAAACATTGCAACAGAGATTTTTTTAGACTTTAAAGATGACGTGGTGAAAGAGGTACGTGGAGCTGTTAAGGAAGAGGTACGTGAGGTTGTTAAGGAAGAGGTACGTAAAGTTGTTAAGGAAGAGTTAAGAAAAGTAATTAGTGGAAATAGTGATGGTAAAACTGAGCAAGTCAAAAAAACAAATGAACAATTACTATATGCTGAAAAAGTGAAAAACTCAAAAACTGAAACCGTTGTGGTGGAGCCCAAGGAGAAACAGGACAGCAGAACAACTTTTACTGAAGTCAAAAGTAAGGTTAAAATCGGGAAATTAGGAGTTGGAGTTGAAAAACTAAAAAAAACCAAATCGGGAAAAGTTGTTATTGGATGTGTGGGAAAGGAAGATCGCGAAAAATTGGCCAGTGAGTTAAAAGAAAACATGGGTGAAAAATACAACATTAGGTTAACAGTCAAAAAAGCACCGAAAAATCAAAATTATAGATGTAGATAGTGACACGATGGAAAAATGTGATGAGGATGAAATCATTGAAATGATTAAAAATCAAAATGGAATAGTTGTAAATGAATTAACGAAAATGGAGATAAAGAAAAAGTTGATTGGCAAAAATAACAATGGAGTAATTATCATGGAAGTAGACCCAGGGACTCATAAGTATTTAATAGATAAAAATAAAATTAAATTGGACTGGAACTTATGCCGTGTATTCGATTGTGTCAGCGTCTTAAGATGTTTCAAATGCTGGGGATTTCATCATTACGCGAAAGATTGTAAGAGCGAAACTATATGTCGTAAATGTTCGGGAAACCATATGGAAAAGGATTGTCAAAATGAAATAAAAAAATGTATAAATTGTGTTAGAATGGTAAATGAATTTAAATTAGAAAAGATAACAACTGATCACTGCGCAAATGATCTCGAATGTGAGTGCTATAAACGAGCAATAATTAGAGCACAAAAAAATATAAATTATTATTAGCAACTAAATAAAAACATCGTTAGAAAAAATAGTAAAAAGACATTTGCGATAGTATCATTAAACATAAATGGACTAATAAGACACAAAGATGTATTTGAAAAATGGTTATTTACAGTGAAACCTGAGGTGATATGTATTACAGAGACACATATTGATGCAGATGTCATGGACCACGAAATTAGTTTTGAAAATTATAATCATGTATGTACGTATACTACAAATAATCGTACAGGTGGTGTAATAACTTATATTAATAAAAATCTTAAGTTTAAAGTGTTGCTGAATAGTACTGAAATTAGTCATAAGACATGGATAAATATTGTACAAATTGGTGAGAGAAACGGTCTAGTTTTAATAAATGTTTATAGATCTCCAAATAGTCGGGTTAGTCAATTTAAAGAAAATATGATAAATCTATTAGAAAACTATGTTGACAAAAGGTACTTAATAATAGTAGGTGATTTTAATCTGGATGTTGGCTGTGATAAAGACCGTTATGCTAAAAAATTTGTAAATGAATGTGCCTTATTAGGATTAAATCAATCAATTAAAGTACCAACGAGATCAACTCTGACTTCAGATACTATTATTGATCTTGTATTTTCTAATTTTGATGTCAATACTGAAGTACTGCCTACACCAAGAGTATCAGACCACAATATCATTTTGATTAATACAAATATTGAAATAAAACGTGAAAATAATGTTAAATTAATAAAAAAAAAGAAATTTTAATGATTTCGATCAGGATTTATTTTTTAAAATTCTTATTGATAATTTCAAAGCTAATAATATATATGATTTATGCAAAACAAATGTCGATATTGAAGATATTGATGAATTAGAGATATTACTAGATAAATTTAATGATAGTGTGATAAGTGCTCTTGATGTGGTTGTACCTAAAACTGAGAAAACTTATGTAACTAAACTTAAGGATAAAAAATGGATAACAAAGGACTTGTTACAAAAAATAAAAGAAAGAGATCGATTGTTTTTTGTATCAAAAAATTCCGGATTAGAGGTTGATATTAATAATTATAAAAAATTGAGAAACAACATTGTAGATGAGATCAGAAAACTTAAGAGAGCGCACAATGATAATTATATAGATGTTAATAAAAATGATGGAAAAACTCTCTGGAGACAGATAAAGGAACTGATAGGGAATAAGAAAGCCCAAACTAGTATTGATAGTATTGAATCTGATGGTAAAATTGTAACTAATAATTTGACTGTCTCAAATGAGTTTAACCATTATTTTGTTGATAGTATCAGAAAAATTGTTAAAGACATAGGATACGTCCCAGAAGACATTGTAATTGAAAATAGTAATAATCTAAAGTGGGATGAATTTGATGAGTTAAATGAAGATGAAGTGGGTAAAATTATAAAAGGCTTGGATGATAAAAAGGGATATAATAACGATATAAATTCTGTAGTCTTAAAATATCTATGGAAATTTGATAGGAATATTCTAATGAATATTATAAAAAAATCTTTAATATCTGGTGTTGTACCAAATAGCTTAAAAATATCCACGATAGTTCCAGTACAAAAAATAAAAAACAGTTTAAAAATATCTGATTTCAGACCAATTAATACACTGCCAGTGATAGAACAAGTATTAGAAAGTATAGTAAAATCACAGTTAAATAAATATATAGATAAAAATAATATTTTAAATGAGGAACAATCAGGATTTAGAAAGGATCACTCATGTGAAACTGCTATGCAGTGCTCTTTGATTGACTGGAGAAATGATATAGATAAAGGATTATATGTAGGTGTCGTATTTATTGATTTCGCGAGAGCTTTTGAGACGATAAATAGAAAAAAGTTACTGTTCATAATAAATACACTGGGAATAGGAGGCAATGTATTAAAGTGGTTTGAATCTTACTTGAAAAATAGGAAGCAAGTAGTTAAATTTAATGGTAGTGTATCAGATGAATTGGTAGTTGAACATGGAGTACCACAGGGCTCCAAGCTTGGTCCACTTTTATTTATTATATACATTAATGAAGTAATAACTTTAATGAAAGGTCAGGGAGTTGTCTGCAAACTTTTTGCTGACGATAAAATAATATATTTTGCTAGCAAAGATGAAAATGAAATTGAGAATAAAATAAATAATTGTTTAGATACACTGATTATATGGATTAAAAAGCACCAATTGAAAATTAATATAAAGAAAACAGTTTTTATGATGTTACACGATTCAAGAAAAAAGTATAAAATAGGAAATTGCAAGATTAAAATAAATAATGAAAATATTATTGAAGTGAATGAAACCAAATATCTAGGAATTATAATTGATAATAATCTAACATTTAATAAGCACTTAATCGAAACAGGGAAAAAAGTAGCAAAAAAACTTAATGTAATCTATCGTCTGAATAACTCAGTTAGCTGTTGGACAAAAAATACAATATATAAGGCTGTTATTGGTCCCCACTTTGATTATTGTGCTAGTTTAATGTTAAATTATAATAATCAACAATTGGATGTGTTGCAAAAAATTCAAAATAGAGCGATGAGAGTAGTTTTAGGTGTCAATAAATACACAAATATAAAGAAAATGTTAGAAGCACTAGGATGGATGAGTGTCAGACAACTTATGGTGTATAAATGTTGTATATTGATACAAAAAATGTTATTGGGAATTGCACCAGCATATTTAGTAAGCAAATTAACAGCGGCTAGAGATAGACACGAATACAATACCAGAAGAAGAGAGCTGCTAAGAATTCAGCACACCCGAACATACTCTGCTGAGCGGAGTTTAATTTACCGTGGTTTTAATTGGTACAATTGTCTTCCAAGTGACATTAAGAATGAAAAAAGGATGAAAATATTTAAAATCGAACTTAAAAATTATATAAAAATAGAATATTAGATTGTATGGATAGGAATTACTGATTGTACAACTTAAATCATTGAATAGATTTAAGTGTCAAAAATATTTGTACAAAAGAATAGCAAATTGCTAATGAATAAAGTTTATTATTATTATTATTATTATTATTATTATTATTATTATTATTATTATTATTATTATTATTATTTTATTAAATGCTCAGGGGGTTGTCCCCGGAGTCCGACTCTCCGAGGGCCCAGCCTGAGCTCCATCCATTACTGCTGGACCACTCCACACAACAAGGTGGTTAGTGATCACAGCAGGCCAAAGTCATTTCTCTAAGTAGACGGAGGGAACCTAGTATCACAGCCTTCTGCATCCTGACTGCCAAGAACTCAGCTTTTGATGAGCAAGCTGGAACTCTGGCAAATGAGGATACAAAAGACTGTTTCATCCCTCCAAGGACGCCAACAATCAGGACGACAAGCTTGACACGGTAACCTGAGTAAAGTTTGCCAATTTCAAACAGGACATCCTGATATATTTGTCTTTTGTACTCTTCTTTGGCTGAGATGTTGTATTCAGCCCGGGCCGAAAACTCTATGACATAAATGCCACGAGTAGTCTTGTCGAAGAGCACAATATCAGGTTATTATTATTATTATTATTATTATTATTATTATTATTATT